AACCTCCTGCAGCCCTTTGGCCCATGGAGCAGATTCTGTTTTGCAACCAGAAGTGTGTGCGCTCGCGTGTGTAGAATTATGCATTTAAACACTAAACCTGCCTGTAGCTGAAGATGTTATCTGTTGAACACGGCAGGTAACTACACAAATTTGGGATAGACCAGTTTCCAGAGGCCGTATGCCTCTGTCCTGACAATACCAGCATTTTATATTTGTTCTAAATGATGCATGTTTAAAGGTTGTTAAAACAGTAAAGCAAGGCAAAATTTGATAAGTTAGTTTCTTTCTGGTTTGCTCCTACCACGGGCTTAAAAATTTTCAGGACTTTTTTGCATCTTTTCAGAGGGACTAGCCCATGTCAGACTGTAAACGAACCTTTGCAACCAAGTTCAGAGAGCCTTGCTGCCAGACAAGGACTCGAACGCGGGCCCCCTTCCCGTTCACCGCCTACACCAATCACCTTCACCAGGCACCAACATGGGCAAGCCCCCGTCTTCTCTATGGTCCTTTTCTGAGAGAGCGTCAACCCCCAAACAGGAAATCCGGAGGGAGTCTGCGGCCGGAGGGACTCTGTCGAGTGTCACGAGCCCCTAGCAGCCGCTGGAGTGGTCCGCGCGCCACCCGGAAGTGGAGTGGGAGGGCGGATCCTTGGCTGGCGGAAGGGATGGCAGAGCCCCGGTGCTGGAGGCATCCAGAGAGCGGCCGGAGCCGCGCAGCTCTCGTTGCCCGCTGCTTCCGGATGGGAGCGACGGAGTGATGTGACTGGGTCGCTCGCCCTGCCGCCCGGCTCTTCCAGTGTTTTCCCGGCGGAGGAAGGTGAGGGTGGGCCGAAGGGGTGCAGAGGTGGGCCTGTCTGGGCGGGTAATTGGGGAAGCCCTGCTGCATGAAAGCAAAAAGTTGGGGCTTCGGCTGCATTAGGAATCCCTGACCCCTGGAATATGTTTGCCTTTGGCATGTGGGTCTGTTATTGTAAGGGACGAGATTATAGCTTTCTTGCGCGTGTCCAGAAGCACGCTAATTCGTGCTTCGTCCTTTCTAAGATCGAGCCCAGTCGGTCTGCGTACCCCTTGTAGCAACTTGGTTACATATTTTATAGTATTATATACTTTCTGTGTGTAATTCTGCCGTACGATAAATAAATAGTTCGAACCCCGCTGTTGCAAGTAAGAGGCGTTGGTCCATGAACGAAGTCTTGGAAGGCAGCAAGGCGGTGGCTCTGCAGTGCTGAGCAAAAGGTAGTGGGGCTCTCGTCGGCTTCCCAGCCACGCCTTGTAGTCTGAGTTTTCTCATGCACACTTGGAGGAGCGGCCTGGCTTCAATGCCATGGCACGGATGTATGTGCCTTTGTTCGTGCTCAGAGGCATGCTTCAGGCTGTTTCTGCAGGTGTGTCTTGTGTTGAGCAAAGGATCACATTAAGTTCTGGAGAAGGGTGAAAGGGCACGGTGCAAAAAAATGAAAACAAATGGCCTGACAGACTTCTGGGGTAGAAAAAGGGAGCCTGGTGCTTTGAGGATGTGATGTGAGAGTGATGGGGGAGCAGTGATCTACTGCTGAGATGGTGTGGGGGGAAGAGAGAGTGATAGAGCATCATATTTATTATCTCTTTATCTTTGAGTTCATAACTGTTAGATATTTCCAGGGCTAGACAGTCTTTCAGTGCTCTCAGTGCTAAAAATCGTCCAAAATTAGCCTGCAAAGATGTTGGCATGCTGGCATATAAGTGTGTGCATTTGTGGAGACAGAGACCAGGGTTGCTTTTAGCTAGGCAGAAGAGCCCAGAAGCATTGCCTGTGTCTTCCAGTGTTCCCTTAGGCAGAGAAGTGGCCCACCTTGTTGACAACAGTGTGTGCCGCTATTCAGTGTGCATGTTGCAGATTTCCTATTCTTGGATTAAGCATTTCTTTTATGATACTATGGTCCTAATGCTCAACAATGGCAGTCTCCCTGTGAGCCTTGTGTACAGTGGAAGTGGGTTTGGGTGACTGAATAATCCCATGTAGTACAGCCAGTTTTTTAGGGGAGGCTGATCAGATAAAAATCTCTATGCTCTATTCATGCGGTTCAAAGTGAAAACAAGCATCTGACAGATGAGAAAAATGATAAGCGTAAAGTAGCTGGCTCCAGTTCTTAATCTGCTTACTTCAGCTAGTCTCTTCTACTTCAGAAGCAGGAGCTCGCATGAAGAGGCAACTCCAAAATAGGTCGGCTGAACAATGCAGCTTCTCTGTCCCTGTTGCGGGATGTAATTTGATGTTGTTTGTCCCTAGATTTGAGGCACGCAATTCAGATGGGTAAAGTGATCACATTTAACACACTTCAGATTATGACTCAGGTAAAGATCAGGAAAGTGGGAAAGGACTTTTCCTGGTGGGGCTTTCTGGTCAACAGGTGGCTTCCCCCTTGAAACAGCTGCTGCTAGATGATGTGTATGCTTTGAGCCTCTCTACGATATGTACCTCAGGGATAGAAGTAAAGGAACTGTTCTCTCCAACAGCCCACCCACTTCGCAGCCTCTAGATCAGGGGTGTCGAACTCATTTGTTATGAAGGCCGGATCTGACACAAATGTTACTTTTCCAGGCCATGTATGCCATAAAATGTAATGCCACATACCGGAGATATAAACTTTATAAAGGACTCAGGCAAACCCAATTAACAATATTATTTTTAATTCAAAATATAAACAAAAGCAATTGATTCCTAGCAGTGAAAGCAATTGATTTACTGGGGAACCCATGAAAGCCCTAGTAAATGTATTTAATCATATGCAAGATGAGTTCCCCCCCCCCAAGGGATACCATAAAGGGGGGGGGGGTATTGTACACTTCCATACAAATTAGATACTTTTAAAATATATACCACTTTTAGGAGATGAGTCATTGTCCTTGCAAGTAAATAAGGTAGTTTTTCAGAACCTCTCCGTACACCGAGCCTCAGCGGGTGAGCATGGCTACATCCCCATCCTGCCTCTGAGGATCTTGAGGAGACACACCAGATTCCCCACCAGCAACAGCCCTGTGAAGTGGGCCGGGCTGAGTGAGCAGCCCCAGGTGGCCCAGATGACAGGGTCCTGGCTCAGGAGGAGGGGGGATCTGAACCTGTCTCTTCCAGATCCCCCCCCCCCCATCCCCAGTTCTCATCCCAGTTTGGTGTAGTGGTTAAGAGTGGCAGACTCTAATCTGGAGAACCGGGTTTGATCCCCCCCTCCCCCAAATGCAGCCAGCTGAATGACCTTGGGTCAGTCACAGTTCTCTCTGAGCTGTTCTCTCAGAGCTCTCTCAGCCCCACCTTCCCCACAGGGTGTCTGTTGTGGGGAGAGGAAGGGAAGGAGACCTGGGACTCCCAAGTGAAGAGCGGGATATAAATCCAACTCTTCTTCTTCCCGCATTTCCCACAGAAGCGGTGAGGCTGAGGGAGTGCCTGATGGAGAGGTTGTTTCTGAACCCTCCAGGGAGTGCTTTTTGTTCTCCTCCAACCCCTTTTCCCTCATGGGCTGAGAAAAGGTGGGGGTGGGTGGAAGAAGGGAGGTCACCAATCCCCACCTGCCCCAACATTCTACCTCCTGGCTTTGCACCTCTTCAGACATGTGGTGCTCACACCCCCAGCCAGCCTCCAGCCTTCTCTCCCTCACACCAGTTGCTCGCGGGCCAGGTAAGAGCGCTGGATGGGCTGGATCTGGCCCCCGGGACTTATATTTGACACCCCTGCTCTAGATGCTTATCCCAGCACCCAGGTGGCTGTCAGCTGGACACCAAGCTGTCCACAGAGAAAAGAGAGTATAACCACTACAGTAGATGCCCAGGAAGAAAAAGAAGTTGGCCAGAGGGGGTGAGAGTGGTTTTACTCCCTTTCTCCATGGCCAGTTTAATGTCCTTCAGGTACCTTGGCAATCTCACTTTGTAGCGTTAGCTGCTATTTGTGATGCCGGGGAGAGAGCAGAAGGCAGAGAGGCAAGGCCTTCCTCTCACTCCAGATACCCAAGGTTCAGCAGTGGTAGGGAGAGACAACCTTACATGCTGAGAAGTAGTCTTAATCCAGTACTTTAAAAGGTTATAGTGATATATTTAATATTAATGGTTATGTCTTCATTATTTTGTGAGTGTGTTTGTTGGGGAGGCTCACAGGGCGTACAGTAGTCACGTGGCTCTTTGTGATTATGGTAGTTGTGAATGTGACTCTAACACTTCTGCACTAACACTTCTGCAGGGCTGGCCCAGCATGTTGCTTTATATTATGTTGGTGGAATGGTCAGGAGATAGAAGTGAGCACTGTTTTGCACACAGCAGAAACCCCAGATTTCCCACAGAATGTATGTTTTGTGAGTAGCTGCAGACAGCCATGGCTGTCTGTCAAGTGTACTTGTCTGATGCATGTCTTTGCAAAAATGTACTTATTGCATTAGTGCAGGTGCATTTCAAAAATCTTAGATGTACAGCTGAAAGGGTAACATGTGAGATTATTTCAAGTGTTCAAATACTTTCCTTATCTCAGTGATCTTATAATGCAAGCCAGTGTCATTGAGCTGTTGAAGATAGGGGGTGAGATTAAGGGAATGGTAGCTTGCTGAAACCTTCCAGCGCTCAGTGGTGAGCAAAAACTAGATGTTTTCACTGCTCTTAAGGAGGGAAAGATCCACCAGTGAGCCTCTGATCAATTTCCAGCAGTTTGCGTAGTGTGTGCTAGAATTCTTGGTCTAATCCTGCAAGAAACTTCTCGTATTCCTTTGTAAAACTATACTTGGGATTAGTTAACACAGTTTGGCCTGGATATGCTATCTAGTTTTGCCAGTTTAAACGCAACAATGAGGTCTGGCCACCCTGCCCTCATGAGTGAGTGAGTAAGTCTTGAAATGAGGACTTTCGGACTCTGAGCTACGTGATATCCACTCCACTCTGTTATGCTTAACATGTTGCAATGGAATTTATTAAGGATCAGGGTATATGTATAATAATTTCTCGTTTTGAAATATTGCCTTTTACAGGCCTTGCAACAACAACAAAAGATATTTGTGTCTGCGACTGCAGTACAAATCACAGTGACTTGACCTACAGTGCAACTTATCAAAAGTTCTTGAGGCACCAGAATGTACCATAGTTTGCTGTGCTTGTCCTTGAGACAACATTTTAAACAATTGTAAGTAGTGTTTGTGTAGTCAAGGTAACATAATGGATGTCTTATTCCTAAGGATGATAAAATAGTGATTGCATAGGAAGGGAGAGCAAACTTAAATTGCATGGGATCATCTTCAGTGACAGTGTTCAGTTTAGGAGATTTGTAGTTTTGGTGAAGCCCACTGAAAACCTTGAAGATTTTAAACATGAGAGAATTGCCTTGCTGTATCAGACAAAGATCCATCTAGTCGAGCACTCAGTTGCCAAAAGCAGCCAGCTTTTTGCTTCTGGGAGATAACAGATAGGGCGAAGGCTTCCTCTCTTGGTAGTGGCCACCCAGCAGCTGTTATTCAGAAGTATACTGACTCATGGAAATTAATGATTATGGTTGATATGCACTAATAGATTAACCTTTTAAGAAATGTGAAGTTAGATCTCTTAAAATGGGTTTGATACAGCTAGCTTTTTAATTCAGTCTCACCTAGTTCCCCTGCTTACTATGGTCCCCAGCGTGGTGTAGTGGTCAAGAGCAGCAGACTCTAATCTGGAGAACCAGGTTTGATTCCCTACTCCTCCTCCACATGAAGACTGCTGGGTGATCTTGGGCCAGTCACAGCTCTCTCAGAACTCTCTCAGACCCATCTACCTCACAAGGTGAATGTTGGGGAGAGGATAGGGAAGCCAGTTGTAAGCCACTTTGAGACTACTCAGGGTTAAGAAAAGTGGAGTATAAAAAACCAACTCTTTTTCTTCTTTCCGCCCCACATGGCTTTTGTAAATGATCTCCAGCAGAAACTTTTTTTGGGGGGGAGGGGGCTCCTTCCTTTTTCATCAGCTGAATCCAACCAAATGTGTTTGCCAAAATAAAGGTTTCCTGAGATACCATGAGAAGAACATTCTTGTAAAATGTTAATACAGTATTGTTACCTGTTCTATAAAATTCTGGGGTGTCCCTGCCGCCTCCAGAATATGCCTTTGTGGTATGGGTGAAGTGGATGATGTCGAGCATTACATTCTGAGATGTTCATGGCACGAACCACTTAGGCAAAGGTTTATTTATCCTATTGTACCTCTGTATAATGGAATTTCAGAGCAGGATTTGACCGTTTTCTTGCTCTCTGATATTGATGCACATGTTACTAGCAGAATGGCTTTGTTTGCACTGGCGGCGAAAAAGATAAGACTGGGTCTAGGACTTACTGTAAATTACTGATGTATACTGTTGGTTGTGCTTTGATTTATTTTGTGTTGTTATGGCCAATGGCTAAGACAATAAACTAAACTTGGCTTGGCTATAAAATTCTGCTATTTTGATAGTGTTCAGGCTTGGCTTCAGTTTTTACATGATTAACTGTCTGATTGTCTCACTTCTGTGTACCTCCCTTCCAAATTCTTTGTAGTCATGGTTTGAAAACAAGGCTGTAAAGAAGTCGTCTTGATTTGACTGCTACCAAGGTCAGTCAGTCAGAACAAAGTTTGAGTCCAGTAGCACCTTTAAGACTAATGAAATTTTATTCAAGGTGTAAGCTTTCGTGTGCAAGCACAGTTCTCCAGATACAGTGTGCCACTGGAATCAAACTTTGTTCTGCTGCTTTCAGACTAACAGGGCTACCCACTTGAATCTGGGGTCAGACAGGAGTTCTCAAATCTGTGAGCTGAGCTTACATAATGATCCTGATGCATTTTGCAAATTTCTTGAATTCAGCCCTTCCAAAGACCGTTGGATGACTAATGGTTGTGTGTGGGGGGGGAAAGGGTTGGTTCTGCAGCTGCTTCTTCTGACCAACATTACTTTTGAGTGTCATAGTCATACTGGAGTGAGTGATACTGGCAGCCACATCC